TTAAAGAACTTTTAATAATGTAACCTTACTTGTAATGTATCGTTTTACATACATTAGTGCATAGATACCTATATATTATCATGTCTGTCTCCTACGGGGTTGGGCAGTATGCCATACAATAGCATGTCAAATAGGATGATACGGGCACAGATAGGTACCATTTTCGGTTCATCTACATTTATCAAAGCATGGTCATCGATTGGTGGTCATTTTCCTTGACAGTCAAGTCTATAGTGGTTAGTAGCTACCCAAATAACAAACACTACTTTGGAACAAAGTTTGTTTCATTCACGTCATAACGACTTGTGAGATGGATGAATTGGCATAGAGGTAAAGTACGGTACTGGAGAAACACCATATGCTACGTTTTATCCCAATAGAAGTTAATTATGAATAATTAATATGTACAATTTATTAGTAAGCGTAATAATTACGTAAACTTATTAAGTAACAATAAATATGTAATAGCGATGGATGTACGTTTTTAAAGTCGAGGTTTTATTTACATGGACACGTGCCAAAGGAAAGTCCAGTGTCAGATTAAAATAGTATACGGGGCTCAGGGCTGTGGAAATGCGTTGGAAAAACCACGCTCAACACAAACAATCTACTCATTGTTTGTATTAGGCGTTTTGTTTATGGGTTTACTGGGTAAGTACTATTTATTTTAAATAGGCGGGAATTCATTAATATAGCATGTATGCAGGCAGCAGGAATTTCCAAAGTTTTTGGTAAATAGGTAGTCTTATTTTGACTAAATGGTTCATCTTAGGCAGTCACTATGCAATTATTATCTAATGCCAAAAATGAAGTAGGTAAGTATACACGTTTTTCAAGGCGAGGTTCATTTACATTCACACGTGCCAAAGGAAAGTCCAGTGTTGGTACCTAAATTGCATACCTATCTTATTTGGTAATTCAGGATTTTGTGGGTACCGCATTTGAAAAAAGCTTCGGCACAGTATGTACTTTCTTAGCGCGAAATGGTCAAATATTCCCTTCTCCGCCGGAATTTCGTCACATCAATCACTTTTATGACCGTTATTTTGATATATCATTGCCGATTGTTTTCTATGTTGACCACACGTTAGGCCAATTAGTGGTGATGTTTTTCTGTCGTACCTAAGTATATGTTGAGTTAAAAGTTACTATTGGTATTCTGTGGAGGGCAAAGAAATTGACATACCTACTTAGCAGTACTTAGGTACTTGCTTTTTACCTGCTTATATTGTTTATTTGGGTTAGATATGCACCATGTTTTTACGTGTGTAATTAGGATAAAATCATAAAAGTACCTAGATTTAAAAAATAATAATATTTGGCAGTTGCCTTGTTAGGTATCTACTAATTATGTCACATCTTATGCTAAGAACATTTCTAATCATTCCTCTATCTAGTGAAGCCTGGAAGAGTCCTAGCACATTTAGTTTTTCCAGTTTAGTTTTCCGTTTTTCCAGTAATGTAACATGCAGAAAATATAAATTATCTATAAGGAGTAAAAAAAACTAGAGCAGGGCAGTGTGTGTAGTGTGGGTTTTCTTCAGGTAAACTCATTCATTAGGGGTTATAAAGAAAGCACATATTATGACTCTCAGGTAGGGTTTAGTCATGATTAAGTGTTTGTGGGTTATTTTACTGGGAAATTTAATTAAATAGGTACCTACCTACGATGTTTCCCAACTATTGTTTACAACAATGAGTATTTTAGAAATAAAATAAAAAACCTTTACACACATCACACGAAGTCCATAAAAATACCCGGTTTGTTTACCAACGTAAAAACCTCTAACCTAAATGAAGACAAAATAAGTCTGTTAAATGTATCAATGTTCCTTTTTAAGCACAGGCTGTTTATTCTACAATTATAATTCACAGGTAACTCGAAATAAGATAGATACCTAGGTATAAATAATTAATCAGGTGTGTAGTGTGTTAATTGGCTGTAGGTGTTCCACGGGAACTATGCGTGCCTAATGTGAATGGTGTGTTTACGTGACTCTCGGCTTGTCCGTGGATGCTAGCATGTGGCCGTATTTTCCGTATCTTGTTATTTATCAGACTATCACGAACATTTTCGACGTTAGCATTTAGTATTTACCCAAGAAAGATTTTTATAGATAGGTAAGACTAGTTTTCGAAATGTATCATCTGCTCTACAGGCTTGCCTATAACCTAATAAGCACGTAGTTAATTACAACTAGCGCAAAATGGGTGTACCTTTAGTGAGTTTACACTTGATTGTCCCTTATTTTCATATCTTGGAGAAAACGGATAACACTCTAGGTACATAGCTATTATCTCGAGGTACTTACGACTTTCTCCTAATCACCTACGCAACAAGGTGGTGCATAGGTAAGTATATAATAAAATTTAACTAAATAGTTAAACTTGATTAACTCTTAAAGTAAGTAAGTATTGTTAAGTAGGTATGTTCCTTGCACTCCGCAGAGACCATTAATAAGTTTTAGCACAACATAACATAAAATAAACGCAGTAAATTGCGAATTCGATATTATTAAGCGAAGCATTACACGGGCTGGGATAGCGGCGGCAGTAAATTTGAAAATTTGTCGATGTAAGCCTCGTGCACCGTGTTCTAGTCCAGCTTCCCGGCGCTCCGCTTCGTACGCGGCTTAACGGACCCATTGTCCGCTGAAAGACGGAACATATTGAAACCCCAAGAAGACGGTCAATCGTTGCCAACATATAAAGCCGGTCATTTCGACGGTTTAATTAAAAATAAGCCTTAACTGCGAAGGGGTACAGCGCAGCGGTGGTAATGAAGATTGGAGCTTAGATAGACAGCACTGAAAAGATTAAGTAGATGTAGTAAGGTAAGAGATAACTCCATATTAGGCAGCCCTGAAACAATCTTTATGTAGGTACAGTTCTAAAAGTAAGGGCATATTTTTAAACTGATGTCAAACGTAGCAACAAATATCGGCCAGCGGAGGGACTCAAAAAATCTGTCAAAGAAATACGATTTTCAGAAAAATCTACGTTTACTTAGTTTGCGACTCACGGAATACGACAACGCGCTAAACGCTTTGACTTTTTGTACATAACGAAGTTGGCAAGCAGACGGGCAACTGTCACTGGCAGGCGGTACGTAGTGGCCACAAAAAAACTTGAATTCAACTGGAAGCGGAATAAAAATGTGCCAAGAATGAAAAGCACAGGTTGGTTGGACGAAACCGACTGAATAAAATACTAACTGGAATACTATTGTCTCTTTATTTCTTTGAAGTCTGGAAGAGCAATATCGAGTATCAGTGGGCGTAACCTGCCTAGTACCCACCTACTCTTCTTTTTGCAGTGTTATTTCCTCAACAATTACATCTTGAAATGGACCGATTAACTGTTGCCATCGATTACCAGATATCAGAACAAATATTTGAAAACTTGATAATTAAGATAAGATTGGGCATCTACGAGCGTTTTTCCTTGAGTGCTTATACGGATATTTACTCTTTTGTGAGGAATTTAGGTGTACATAGGTACATTACCTACTAATATCATATAAGCTAAACACGCTTACTTAGGGTTAATACTGAAAACGAAGACTTTCATTTTATAAGATCCTTAAATATCAAGTAGATAAATGAAGCAGTTAGCAGTTTTATAAATAAGGTTTAGGTATAAACAATGTTATCAGCTCATCATGCCACATTGTTATCCAATCGCACGAATTAATACTATTGATAGATTGGATTATATTCATTTTATAGTACTTATGTATATTTCAATGTTACATCGTAAATAAATAAAAAAATTGTGTTCCCTAATTAACACCCTAACACTACCCATCATGTCGCGGAGAACCTAACAGGTAACCAGGGCACCGGCTCGACGTGCAGGAGAAGGAACGGGGTGGTTTATAGACAGTAAGAGTCTGACACTCCCTCCCGTCTCACCCAGGCGGGAGCAGTCATTCGATGATTTTCCCCATAAAAAAAAACACTACCCATCATCCCATAAATTTTAATATGGAATAACTTTTTTTCAGGTATTGCGATACTAAAATTCTGTTAGTGCTTTGCTTAGGGTCTTCACTTATATGAAATTTCCTTTCTCATAGGAAAGTGATCATTGAAAATCAGGATACATAAAAAGAAGTCTATCACTTACTGGAAACTAATCTTTTTAAATTGTTCTGGATAAATTTCCAATCTACAATTCACAAAAATAGTTCGATAATAAAGCTAACAAAGGATGCAACGAGTCCTACATCGCAAAGTGACGTTAGCCTGTTAGAGCGCCGCATTCCACGCTTGCCTCAAAGAGCCATCAGACCACCACAGATGAGGCCCAATAGGGCTGTTGCCGATTCGGAGTCGTGGAGAACCTAACGGGTAACCGGGGCTCCGGCTCGACGTGCAGGAGAAGGAACGAGGTGGTTTTTAGTCAGTAAGAGTCTGACACTCCCTTCCGCCTCACCCAGGCGGGAGAAGTCATTTGATGATTTTCCCCCCCTTAAAAAAATAAAAATAAAATAAAATAAAAAAGCCTGTTAGAGTGGGATATAACGTGGATAAATATGGCCAAGTGTTGGGCAGTAGGACCCAAATGTTTCTGAAACATCTTAAATATTTTATCATTTACTTAAAAATAGAAAAACTTGTATTGTGGGATAACACCTATGGCATTGCAAAACATATTATATATTTTAATTAGGGCAACCAACATTATTGTTATATGTTAACTTACAAATGTATTATAAATATGTAATTGTTTATACACGGTTGCATATTTTGGAACTCAATGATAATAAAGTAATTAATTAACACTTATATAAATCGATACACATATACTTACAGTATTATGTATAATGACTCCCACGCGGAGCAATTTTTTGTGTGATCCACAAGTTGTTGTTTCAAGTCTGGGTGTCATGTGTATGTGAACTTGTATGTTTGTAAACGCACCCACTATACAGCAGAAAAGACAAATGTGGAGCAAACATTTGAAAAAAAAAGTTGTAAGTTGTGACAATGAGAACAATACTTTATGAGATGGGAATTTGGTTCACTAAAATTGAAGATAATTGAAAACTTCTAATCAAAAGACACAATGTAAGTCTAAAACAAATGGAAAGCACTGCTACTTTCTGAACATCCATTTATTCATTATTTACACTTATTTAACACTTAAAATAATATTCATTAACTTATTTGTTTTAATATTCCTTGTCGTATAAGTGTCTGACATTCTGATGTTGGCAAGAAATGTCTACTATTCTTTTTTAACAAGATCACATCACCATCTTCCAGTTCCAGCTTCCCATAGTCTGCCATACATAGAACTTCAATGTATAAAGACTTCGGTGGTTTCAGGTTTTCTGTTAGGTCAATGCCATTATACCCTATATCTTGGCCCAATGATCTCATATATGAAGCCAAGTTCATAGAATATTTAGTAAACCACTCGTATTCATCATCTGACAGGAGTTCACGAACATCGGCAGGTAATATAGCACCAAATTCCCATCTTAATGTCTTAATTTTGGCCATTCTACTATAGAGATAAGCAAGGAGGCAGCGTTTGTTCCGTTCTAGTGCCGAATGCCTCACTTGAACTGTGGTCCACAGAGTTTTATTTTCCATAGTTGCGTTACTGTAAAAGATAACTTCATCAAAGATACGTAAAATACAATATTATCCTGTTAAGCATATCTAACAAGTTAAGAAGATCAATTAATCAAAATTAAATACACTAAGAAAGGTTAGGATTTCTGCCAAGTTTACTTACGCATCATTCATATTCATCCTGAACAAAATCTGCATCTCCTCCAATATTTGTCGAATCTTATCATCCTGAAGCAAAATTTGTGAAATAATAGTACCTCCGTAATAAGCATGATTATTTCAACAAAAACTTAATATTGCATAAAAATAACGTACATTGAATGGGTCGATTGTAACAGGATTTCTTTCTGCTTCCTTCAATAATTCTATGACTTTCTCAGCAAACATGGTTTTAATAGATAATACGAACAATTTACACAAATCACTAAAACTATTCAAAATAAATAGGTAAACAAATCAAGTTGTAAAATATGGCGGCAAAATAAAGTTTACTTTAATCACATCACACTGACAAATGACAGATTTCACATTGAATAATTGACATTTTCATAAAACAAACGTGACATTGACAGTTATAGAAGTAAAAAAGGAACAAAATAAATTTGGATACACTTATATGTAATTCGTATTGAACATTATTTCTGTTTCGCGTTTTATTTATTAATTATATTCAAAAAGATATGATATATTAAACACAATTACCAAAATTACTTAATTTTTTAAATTCAAAATTGGTTAATAACATTTTAAAACAGATGAAAATCTTTTGTCATACAATTAACAATAACAATACCCAATAAATTACCATATTAAATTCTTTACACAAGAAATTTAAAAAAAAACTTAACTATTTCTCTAGAAGATTAATTAGTGATGTTTAAAAAAACTATTCATATTACAATATTACAGAAAATATTTGGAATTATTAAATCTTTATCTTGAAATTATCTTTACTCATGAACCGGGTTAACCCATTGGATGTAATGAACAATAAACGAACGCGTAATAATAATACGCAGTTGGCCAGTCGGTATTTAAGGAAAAGCGTGATAAAGATGGCGTTCAGTTCGCTTAAGAACGGTCAGTGAGACACATGTGTGTTTATCCGAACGCACGAAAACTAGTGGAGGAGACGGGAGCCATCATCATTCATTACTGTGAATTTAATCATTCATTGCGCATGCGATAATATCGTGGAATGGTTGTTTACTACGCGAATATTTTCTTGAAAAATGAGTGTTCATAGTTAGTGTTAAAAAAAACATACGTACATTCCATTCGTTACTAGTGTTTCAAGTGTGATATAAATAAAAATCAACAAAATGAGTGGAAATAAGAGCAACTTCAATACTAAGATTGCGGAGGACGAGAACGTCGATTCTGGTTTTCTATCTGGACCTATAGACGTGTTACCTGGTGACGAGGAGTCGGAGCCCGTGCCCGAACCTGCTAGTGAGGATAAGAAAGTGAAAAGTGTGAGTGCCGTGCAGCCAAGCGATAGCGAGTACGACAGTGGTATTGTGTGCATATCGGAGCTGGTGTCGAGCGTGCAGCTCACCGACACACAGACCCCACACATCGCCGTATCACCTCCTGAACAGAAGAACATCCCACCAATCACCTTATTCTTCACGCCGGACGAACAGGGAGATACGTAAGTGTAACAGTAATGTACCTATTAACTTGCAGAAACGTCAGAAACGTCATGTCTTCTATTGTTTTAACAAACAACATGAGTACTTTGTAGGTAATAGCACCTTTAACCATTTACTGACCAAGTGTTTATAGCTTCGCTTAGAAGTTAAGGTTTCAATAGTTTGGTAGGTTTTGTATGTCGGTAGCTGTTTGAAGGTAGTATGTATATCATTTCTATTTATACTATTTGTTGACTTTAGAAGTTTATCTGTAAAATATGTTCTATAAAATACACAGCAAGCTAGCTTTTACATATAAAATGGTGTGAACGACTTTTTGGTGGAATGATCATTTGTACCAGCTGTTCTAAATTGTTTGTATAATATCAACCTAGGAAGAATCAGTCAATGGTTTATATCTTATATCAAGTAAGAACAATGCCATTCAATGCAATACTTGTTATCAATGAATATCCAACCCCTTAATGATTATGTAAAGTGAAAGTCTAAACAACAAAAAGTCTAGACTCACTAGATAAAATGTCTATTAGTTAAGCACAGACACCAGCAGCCCAAGTAACTTAAAACAGTCACAATTCTTTAATACCTTTTCAACTTCAAACCTTTGGAATAAAGTTGAAAATTCATTACAGGTATCCCAAGCTGCTGCAATCTATTTGTAGCAAAATGTTCCTGTATAAACATATGAACTGGTACATAAACAGAATGTTTATTGTAACATAGTTATCAGTACATAGTTGTGGAATAAACTATTAATTAGTTACATGATTATATGGCTGATTAGATAATATGGTACTGTATCAGACACATGCAATGTACATGATCACAACCAAATTTAAAATTTCCCATTATCAGCACTGTATTATACAGCTAAACACTGATAAATATGGGAATAACCACATTTAATATTGATTCACTCGCACAATGTTGATGAGGCAATTTTATTGTTTAAAAAGTACCTTATCTTCACATTTATTAATCTGTAGGCAGAACCATTGGATTTCCCTTAAGGTTTTTACAACATGTCATTTACCTACACTTGGAAAATGTTTATATACAGTGATATTCTTTAAATATTTATATGCAGTATTTCAAGAGGTAACTACTTGACATCAAAAATCTTAAACCAGTACTTGGTACCTACACAAATGTTCAATTTGGCTCTAACTCTAAATGCAAAATGCTTTTTTTATTTCTTTGCCTAAAGACTAAATCTGATGGGTGTTGATGACACAGCGTTTTATATATTCTTGTGTTTCTGGTCCAATATTGTTCAGTTAACACTGATAAAAACAAACTTATTAAATTCTGTATGTAGGAAAACAAAGTTGTTAACATTTTGTTTCATTAAAATAACTATAAATGATGTGACTAGTAGTGAGGTTCTTTATGTTTATACGAATCATATGTGTTAAAAATCATAAACACTGGTTGTCCCCACTAGGAAGTTATATTTCCTTCACTTATTACATCATTAGCATTCGTAAACAGTTCCTAACTACAAAGTACAAGTATGTTGATAAACACAGCTCCGACGCACACACACGCCGTGCGCAGACCGCCAAACTTATTAATACAATAATTTGTCAGCAATCACTGTTTTCTTGCAATCAATGATAGTGGGAATTAGCATGAGTCAGATACCGTTTATCTCGCGTAATAAGATCTAGTAACGTTAGCTGCGACAGCTAATGTCCGTTACGTGTAGAGACCTCTAGAATGCTACGAGTGCTGAATGGGTTTGTTATGGCACCCGCTAAGATCACGCGGGCCCCACTCCACACTACGCGCACGCACCGTCGACCGGTCCAATACCGTAAAGGTCGCCATCCCGTCACCTTCTATATTTAGAAAAATCAATCGTATACACGAGTACCGAAGCTCTCTAACAAAATCATTCATCCCTTGTTACAGACAATTACACATAGCGGCAGTGCACGGGTGCGTAAAATCAGTAGCAACACTCATAAGAATATGTCCGAACAAGATGTTTTTGGACTTAGCCAACGACGATGGACACACAGCGCTACACCTCGCTGTGATGAGTGGAAATGCCGTGGTCACCAGGATGCTAGTGCACGCGGGACTCTCGATCGAAGCGAGAGACAGGCTAGGAGAAACAGCCCTACATAAAGCGTCAACGAAAGGAAATGTGGAATGCCTACAAGCGTTACTTGCGCCTGTGCCTGAATTTCCATCAAGGAAGCTTACTACAGTACTGAATCAAAAGAATTATAATGGTAAGTAACTACTACAATTTGGATTAATATTATTAATTTAGAACAAAGATTTCAGATTATTAATTTATAATATTACAGTGAATTCCATTATTAGTTCCTGGTAGAGTATGTAAGCACCATTTTTTCCATTCATGATAGTCTAGGTAGTTATATATTATGTATAGTAAGAAATGACATCATCTGTGTGGTTTTTAGTCTTGTCGTCAGGAAGAATTGTTAAAGTAGCTCGAATATTTGGTTACATCTTCCGCAGCACTCCCTGATTGAAAATAACCGCAAAGCTAATAATGTTCCGATAACACTAAATAATATCGGTTTACGACCGCCACGACCTGATATCGTCCATTGCGGTGATGACCTCAAGCGTGTTATTGTTGAGTTGCCCCTTGTAAGATCAAAGACTGCGTTCAATGACTGCTAGAAAAAAAAAATCTAGGTCCTATATCCTTCTCCTTCAATAGAAAACTAATTGCACTGATAAAACCACAATTGAAATCAGGATACCGCGACATTGTTATAAAAAATGTACATTGCTGACATATGATGATTAAGCATAACCCCGTTGAAAAACTTGATTCTATGTTCTCATGCGTCTACACTTACAATCCATTGAGGTTCGCAGCAGTCCATCTGAATCACGGCCTCTGAGAGTAAAAACCCACTCAACGGTTTTTCCAGGTACAGGCAGTGCACAAACTGTTTTGTTTACAAAAACGTAGAATTGCAACCTTTTTGTTATTAATGAATAGTCCCATCTAATTCTTATATAAACATCACATACCCATTGACAATCAATTGAACCGTTTCATGCAACTAAAACGGTAGTTTTATTTGTTAAATAACAATGCACTAGCTTCTATCTATCAAATATGTTAATGGACCTTATGTTAGAATCATCATTTGTAAGATGTATGAAGTAGTTGCCCTTCAAGTGCAATGATATTGTCCTTGCACTATCTACTTCTTGTTCCGGACACGGACCGGCACGACATCTCGTGCAACAGAAAAAATACGGAGCTTCTCTAGGATCTGTTGAAGTCGTGGCTAGGATCAACTAGAACCTGTTTTCTATGCTAAACAAAGAAGTCGCACATTGTTTACGTGTGAACGCACCGTACCCATGAGGCTACTTGTGACGTCCGTCAAGGTCTTGATTACGCTCAATGCCATTACAACTGTATGTGCGAAGCCCCTGGCGATGCTGGAAAGTGCCCCAGTTGCATAAAACATTTTCTAATATTTCTAATTCGCAGTAAATGAAATTAGGAATTCCCTGTCTATGTAAACTGCATTAAAAAGATATTACTTTACGCTCTTTATTGTCTGGTTTTCCCAAGCTAACAAACAACACACCAACCTGATATAAAATAATTTCGGCTCTGGCTCTATACGTATTTGCATATGTATTTATTTGACACGATTGTTGACCTTGCGGAAACATTTTGGTAAACTTCTTGTTATGAAGTTTGTAAGCTTAATTCATAAATAGTTACTGCGAGCGTGTGCGGTCAAAAATTTCTTGCTGGCCTAGTAAGATTGGCCGCCTAAGTGGATTGTGAGATTATCGAGTTCAGAGGCTGCCGGCAGTTGGTTGTTGGGTATTCCCAACGTTACGACGAGCCGGTCGCGTAACGAACGAATACGGACGGCCGCTCACCGAGTGAAAGCAAACTTTTTGGTACCATGTAACGCCCCTAGACCAGCGTTGAGCGGCCCGTACATATGGCTTGGGTTACCCCGACCATTGTTCGAGTGTTAATTGAAAAGCTATTACGAGTATGCTAAGTAGGCGACACGGCGAGATGGTTTTTCCTGACGGAACGATTTCAATATCTTATGAATGTCGTAGCGTCAACGCGCACGCTATTTGTATATTTATTACCGATTTATTTTTAACCCACAGGCAACTTCTTTTAAACTCGAAAAGTAATAATATCTTTCTCAAAACAATGGAATGAAAGCAATATTTGCATAGATATACCAGTACAAGCTCTTTAATGTAATGCGCCAATAGTCCAAGGTAAGCATAACCCAGGAAAACCGCAATCATTTGGCGTTGCGTCGTTCACATTGATGTCAGTACCTCTGAACAATGGTGGCTGTATGATGATGATGGCCCGGGCAATACCCACGTGAAAGTGTGCCTCGCCACGGTTACATACGGACGGAAATCCCAAGCGCGGCATGTATTATGAACATGTTACGTGGGACTGTGGCGGACTTTCTAATTATATCGCCATCTCAAATAACTCAGTCAATTCTAAAATTTATCTGCTTGTCATTTACCTGCGGCATGTAGAGCTATTGTCTTAAATTGTACCAAACGTAAGGCTAACCACACCCAGTGCGTGCAGTGACCGCTCGAAAATTCGGGAATTTTGGAGATTCCGGTTTCTTAAATGTCTTGCTAAACATGTTACATACCTAACTTAGAACTAATTTAGAGTGCTGTATCTGTTCTTAGTTTGTTCTAGCAAACGTGCGTTTTTGCTATCCAAGGACAACAACTCTAATTGTTATTTTATTTGGATTTCCCACAGACGTTAATAGCAGATTTAAATAATTGATATTAATAATCGTAATCGTAGTACTGTGGTATTATTTTATATGCGTCAATGTAATTTTCTGAACTATAGCTCAAAAGTCGCATTTGTTAGTAGTAAGGGCAAACTTTGAAAATATAGTTATATCGGTAGTTAGTATCATCATCCAATTAATTCCTTTAGATCGTCGTTGATAAGTAGGTCGAGTGATGACATTCAACCTGGATAAATTCATTCACATTTCAAAATAATTAGACTTATCAGCATGTTTTAAGAGCATGTTTGAAGAATCGTTATCTCCATAGGTGAGCGCTTGTAAACTGTTGCTATCTACCTGTATTAAACCCTTGTACTGTTTATATAAAACTTGGGGTTTTCCGACACTCAACCTGGTTTTTCAATGTCCTGCGACGCAATTTATTATCATGAAAATTTCAACACCTCTGCCTGTTTACGTCACCCAAGTTGTTGAGAACTGATCTTGTAAACATGGGTTTTCTTCAATAATTTGTTGTATTAGCGGTATAAAATATAATATTAAATACTATCCTCTGCCACTCGAATGGCGTAATTTTACCAATTGGAAGTTCCTATAAGGAAAATATACCGAATCTGACTTGCTTCGGTTAGCTGGTGAAGAACTTAACTAATCCGACGGCGTTACACGAAAAACATGACGCGTTGATTTCTAAAAAGTATAAGTAACGTCTCCTGCCTGCGTCTGCAACCTCGCGCCCTCAGCTACTCGGCTCGTTGAACAAAATGCTAGAATAATATGCAACGTTATTCCCCATATTTACAAAATTACCCAAACCGGCAAGCGACAGCTGCGATACGTCAATTAATTTATATTTATGTAGAAAATTTTGTTGAGAGTTTAGTCGTGAGCTCTGTTTACAAGGCTATGGGTTTTTACAAGAAAACCTGTTGAAACATCGCTGCCGTCACCAGGGTTCCGCATGGATATTTTGAAAATGTTCGCTTCGCGACAACCGAACGTTGCGGGTGATGCAGCTGCTAAATATAGTTCGGGGCCTATCAATGCGGCGCCGGGGCTGATTCAAGCGGGAGGATTTTATAATATGACTGAAGTATAATTGCAGAATCCTTGATAAGTGTTACCTTCCTGTACTTGGTCGATGTAGGAATTTTATTTATAATAGATGGCACAATTCGTGTGCCAACGCATCGGCATTACCCTGGGTATCGCTGCGGTTAGCGCCGACTGCCTACCGTTCGTTAACTACGTTTATAATTCGTTTCGTAAATAAGGAAAAAAATGTCGTTCCTTCACAAAAGCTTATAGTAGGTATATTACGTAACTAGCAATTTTATTGCGTTCTATTGAAAATTTATTTTGATAATTGTTTTTAATTAATAAGTTCACAGTTGGAAATACCAAGTACCTAATAACTAATAAATATAAAAATTCCACTGCGAGATCAATGACCACTGTTAGTTAATGGTCATAGAAATTAGGGAGGTTAGTGTCTGTATGATATACGGAAATAGTGAAAATCGAGTGGTAGCGCGCCATATTTGGCGAGGACAGTTGAGGCGCGTGCGTCGCCAGTCGCTGAGCCGCGGCCGCCACATTGTTGGGAAAACCCCATCAGGTCGGCGCGCCCGCCCCCTCCGCGCCCCGCGCCCCGCGGCCCGCGTGACGACATCGTACACATGCCACTACCGAAGTACTTGTCCTCAGTTGATCCGTCTCGCAATCACGTCAGCTGGCGTGAACGCTGCGTAGCGCAACTTCAATGTTTTGATTACGTACTTTTTTTTTCAGTTCTCATGAATAGGTTAGGTAGTAGGTGCTTGGAGGAGCATGACTTGTCAACAACTGAATTAGTTTAATGTGTCAGCTTTTTCTGCGACCAGTTATTTTAAATTTCAAAATTGTTTTAAAAATGTCAGTAGACTAAAACTCGCCCTGCACTATTGAGTATTATAACTCACGCACACATTAGTTAAAAGTAGGATAACAAATTATATGAACTATCGGGGGCACTGTAAGTATTTACGACATCTCTAACATTACATCATTTGTATTTTTGGGTGTCCCCGTCGGTTATAACACTAGATATAAGAATTTCAAAATGGTTATGTACGCCGGCTATGTAGGAAATAGCATGCATGTCAAGGTTTCTGGGATCCCCGATGTGTCAAGTGTATGCGATCCAACTTGACTTACAACCATTGCAAAGCAAAATTTTCCGATCGCAAGTAATTTCCGCAGTAAACAACGAAACTGTTTTTTTTATAAAATAATATGCAAATATCAAGTGGTTTGCCCTTATAAGAAGTTAGTATCTGACTATCAGACAGCATCTAACAAATGTATGCGAACTCACATCGCGGCCATCGCTAGTATTGCTCATTACCACAACTAATCAGTAATCTAATCTCGAGTACATATTGCACTTTGGTCCTGGGGTATCTCGATAAGTAATTTACGTGCGTCCTGGGCAACGTAGGTGCACTTTACGTTTGAATACTTTCGGTGATCTCGGGTACAAGATTTGGGTTAGCATAGGTCGCAATTTCTTAAAGCTTGGATGTTAAAAATTATCAGTTATTCGCTTCTGCAGGCCGAACTCGAAATGCCAGATAAGATCAGTTTGTACATCCGCAATGTCTGCGAAATAGAAAAGTTTATTTATATTAAGCCTACCTAAATTCCCGAGCTTTAAAAAGCGCTCGGCCATTTTAGCGAGCGATCTATTTTAGATTTGTTTTAAATACATTTGGATCGGTTCCAGCTGTACGCAGTACGATCATTATGGACCATTCCTATAAACAATGTTCTCCGTTTTCGCACATAGTGCTTATTCAGAGCCATTCAGCTAAAAACATCATGACGTATGTGAATAAAAACTTAGTGTTTTTGTAAACTATGTAGGTAGTCGTATCATACAATTCTAGGTAATTTGACTGTATGATAGGTCCCAGCCAGAATATAATTCTTGTGATACCCACTTTCTTACACCTATATCCAGTTCTTGTCACAAAACATGTTAATTTTCAAAATATTTGAATTTAAAACTACCAGTTGCTTACGTAACACTGTCTTATTATAAGTATGCGTAATATATTGGAACAAGTTTATATTGCGTGTGATTAAAGTTACAATGAAGTCATATATACCTTGCTGAGTAGGTTCATTCTATTTATTGGTAACGAATTTTAATGTAATTGTCAATCTTTGACTTGGAGTAAAATACGTTATTTTTAACTTTCATTACTTCGCATAGTTTTAAAATACCAATATTTGCTTAATCATTTCGTTATTTAGTTATCGTGCATAAATTCCCCAATAAATTATATAGATTAATATTTATCGCTAGATTTATCGGTGTATCTAATTCACTAAACATAGTAATAGCATATACGTAGATCAGTTCGTGCGTACCGAATTGACCTTATTATTATTTACATTATGTACTTGATGCACTCATCATGATCATCAATCATGAGCCGATATTGGAATTTAACAGGGCTTTTTTTTTGTTACAGGACAAGCGTGCGTACACCTAGCCACATCAGCAGGCCACCTCGTCGCGCTACAGACCCTAGTGTTCTACGGAGCCGATATCAAAGCAAAGGTAAGTTCTTCTAAAAAGAGACACTCACACTATCTCTCACAGATCTAAACAAACTTATTGTTTATTAGGTTTTTTGCTTGTCCGAGTACCCAAGCTAAATTCAAACAAAAGGAAAAGTGTCTGTTGCTATGAACAACTAGAACACTAACCACAAAATGAGTCAACGCGGTCTCGGGCCGGTCCAAACACCTCGTGGGGAACTCGGCTTGACAATATTCCAGAGCGCAAATAACTAACATCATTGGATAATCCATTTCTGATTAATGCGGTTGTTTCTTGTTAATTTTGACGGGGAAAAGGTTAAAAATAATAAGGGAGAATCCGCGAATGAGTCGACGACACTACTCGTCATAAAAAAGTGGAATACATCTTAGACCAAACAGACATGTGAATCATTTTTCTTATATTTTCAACCGGAACAACTTTTATTGATGACAAACACTGGGTGTCTGATTCAAATAATTCTCATATTCCCTGCGTGAATATTTGGCAATATTGTATAAGATGCAAGCACACTTCGGTTTGCAGTGAAAACTGAATGGCTCGAGCAAAGTCCGTAGTCACAGTATGTCTCCTTGACAGCTACGGTGGAAAACCCATTGCTCTATTATACGTGTTAATCTACTGATAGTGCGGTATCTCTTACGTCGGGGTTTTTTGTATTTGTGCACCATTTCTGTTCAGCAAACAACATCATGATGTTTGTGTCTGTAACTAACGACTCTTCTCGCTCTGGGGTCCTGGTCGGCCGGCCGGCCACTTCCGTGTGACTTATAATCAGCTTCCGTGGATGATGTTTAAGAGTAACGCTTCAATTACTCATACTGTAGTTGAACTTCATATTTGAAAGTTCAAGTCATGAGACTTGTGATAGCCGTGATAGGTACCCGTCGAGAATACCACTGGATATTAAGTCATGCCTAAATATCGAAGCCGATTAATAGACATTGCAACTTTATCGAACCGTTGTTTTTTTATTTTGTTTAAAGCATAACTAATAGTCTTTTTCTCTTGTGTTCAGGAAAACTTAGCGGGATGGACAGCGCTGCACATTGCTGCGCGACGTGGTGATGTCCGCATCGTGAAGTACCTGCGGGAACGGTACGGAGACGAGGTGACTCTAGCGCGTGACTACGCACAGCGGACGCCCCGGCGCCTCGCTAAGAAAACTCCTGCCGCCAGCGAGTTCAACAAAGTCGCCGAAGACAGCGACTCAGACTCCAGCTCTGACGATGATGTAAGTAATCATATAACCTTTGCAACAGTTACTAGCCGCGTCGTATCATTGGGGAAGCCCACAAATACAGGTGTACTTCCTCTAATCTCGTATATTTTATCTATATTATTTACCGAATATTTCATATTGTATGTAGATTACACACACGCACTAACAAGTATCTAAACCTTGTGATGGAAAATCCCACGTTTTCGTACTTCGGATAATACATGTATTTGTTTGTTGATAATACATGTGTTTTGGATGACAAAACAATGTGATGCGCATTGTATGATCATACTTATTGATACTGGAATAATAACGCCATGCGCTATGACGGACCTCAATGTTACCTGTTCGCAGCTCAGTTCCCATCGTTATCGCAATAACTACAATAAATATCCTTAAATTTTGTTGTGCGCCGCATTCCAGTTATTAATTTTTTCCCTGTAACCTTACAACTTTATCGGGTTCGCGCTTTTAACTCGAATTATACAGACTCCGTCTATACGCGCGTGTGTGTGTAGTAAATAAACTGTCTGACGCGTTATCAGCGTGTGTGGGTACAATGCCCTGTGTGGCGAATGCGTACTAATGTCTCATTATCTCCACAGATGTACGACAGTGACAACGAGAGCCTGTACGAGAAGCTAGTGCGGGATACATGCGGGAACACGGTGAAGGGGTACTGACAGCGCGGCGCCCCGCTCCGGCCACTCGACAGCTAGCGCCAGGCAGCCACCCCCGCCAGCTGGCCGCTCGCCGCGCCGCCACTCCACGAACCAGCGCTTAGTTACAACGCCCCGACCCGGCCCGACCACACCGTAGCAAAGTTTCTAACAAATAGATCTGAATATTACTTCCTTGCTGCCGACACCACCGCGCACTCTGACCAACACCCAACTGGTATTTGTTGCAAGAAGGTGTATCCACGGTTACTGCAGATCTGTCATTAATTGTAACCATGCAATTAACTGCTACAGGTTCTTCCACTGTAACTACAAACCCTGAATATATGTGACAAGAACGAAGGGAACATAGAAATATATGATCCTATATAAAGTCACAATGAGACTGTGTTGGTCAACAGAATCAAGTTTAGTATTGGTCGGTGTATGTTTGTGTAGGCGAGGATTTAGTCTTCATTCTCATTTGTAAATATTTCGAGGGGAAGAGAAGTTGCAGAAGGAAAATATGGCCCGCAGTACACAATGCTGGGACATTTTTTGAAAATATATGAAGTGATAGTTGTTGTACGGATTTGCCCTCTATTTGTTTCACGGGACAAATGTATATGTAGTGATTGGGAGTTTGAGTGGACCACACGCGGAGTCCCAGCACTGTGTACAGTGACGCGCAAATTAGATCTAATTTATTTGTAAGACTCATGTACAGTTGCGGAAAGAATGTTAAGTTTAGTAAAATTATTTAAATAGTCTAATACCTGTAAAAACTGTTAAGTATTTGTATATTTATTTAGAATCGAATAAACGTTGTTCACAATAACTTTGGTATTTTATTGTCCGTGCTGCCTACTAATGTTCTTTCCGCGACTGGACAGGTGCCTAACTGCTATATTGATAAAAGTCCGCCACACAATATACACGTGAATAGTGTATATGACATGAAAACTATTTTTATGAGTATAGCAGCTGTTAAATAAGTGATGTAATTTGAACTCTAGGTGTACCATCATACCTAGAAATGGCTGTATTTCACTTGGAGCCAGTATGGCTAGCTGTCTTCCTTTGATAATTGGAGTTTTGGTTTAAAATTAATTATAACGAGATAATGAACCTATCAAAAGTACGCATATAATTTTTATCAGCCTGATACATAAAATGGAACATCCTGTATACAACGATATGAATTTACTGTTCAAGTTGTTTGTGAAACATAAAAATTGAGCCTGAGCTTGGGATGATCGTAATTTTTTAATTATTTTGGTTATCATGGCCGGTTTTAATATGATGGCAGGCATCTTTCCAGTCCGTGGGGTGACGCTAGGTGTGGCAACATTTTTCATAGTCTTATTATAGTTTACATTAAATGTAAACAACCTTTCGTTAGATAAGTTCACTAGCGACATGAACCTCGGCTCGCAAGTTGCCTGCCACCATAGTTCGTGAACACATCAACACGTTTGTTATACTGGAAGTATAACACTACGCAACAATATCTTAGTTTTGCCCAAACTTTCAGCAGAAAGTAGGTGCTAAGACTAAGTTATCTTTGTTGTTTTAATATATTCGGCCATGTTACTATAAACATAAGGCATTTATCTTACCTATATATTTTACTTTTATAAACAGTAGATTGTAACACAACGATACTCCGGCTTACACGCCCTGTAATGCTGAGTTGGCTGTAGCGGTCCACGACTATATTTAAAATATTGACCGGGATTGCACAGTTAGAGTATCGTTGCGCTAGGGTAACGTATGCCTATGACCTAGAATGAAGGCATTATGTATTTTATTTAGTAGTACATGTGCGTAGTGGTGGTACCACGAGGTTTGTTCGTTACAGCAACAGATGCCAAATAGCGTATTCTAGGTATAAGAACATAACGTAAGCCCCAGAGCTGCTGGATGGCGCTGCAGGCCTCGTGGCAGTCACACGGCACATTATAATATTGTGCAGCTCGGCTACTGAATGTTTGACTGTTACTCGGAAGTTATGCAACGAACGTCGGTGTTAGCCGCCTCTTAGTATTTAGCTTTCTATGGTAAACTCCTTACACTTTGTCCTCTAGCGTGTATATGTATTTCGTATCGTATATATCGTAGTTATACTACCCGACACTCGCTAATGTTCACTCGGGCTGTTAGCTTCTACTCAATTTCGCTAGTCTAAAAGCTGCCCAACGATTCTCCCAAAGTAGAAACGATGCTGTGATACACTTCTTTACATTTTCATGTTATTTCTTCAATGTATTTAACAGTAGGTAAGTCGAAGCAAGCAAAGTAACGCCATACATTCAGTACCTGAGACTTGCTCTACTATAATTTATTAGAAAATAATTGTTATTGTAACACCCGTGTTTAATATTATAATTGAATAAAATTCTTGTTGGATTAAATAATATGTATGTATATTTAATTAACGTAGAACGTATAACTAAGCGCATTATTTTATATTGTTATAAATACGATACGAATTATAACCAAACTCACTTGTTTTACTTGTTTGCCCATACCCTTGCTAGTTCTTGTGTTAAAACTTCAGACACATAGAGCGACGTATTCTCCTACCGGCGCCGACATGGGCGCCAGTTTCTTACAATCAATCAATTGTTCATACGACTGGCAACATAACGTTAGTCACTATTTAAAATGCAATATGAATCAGAAACTATCGAGCGTATGAGGGATGCTCTGACTGTCGTAGATGATGTCATTACATTGATTGAAAACAATTATTTGACACTAAGATCTAGGCCTTAGTTACTAAAGAACAGTGTGCCCTTCGACTAATCAAAAGGATTTCCTCTTGGGTACGTCTTAGATACTAATCTCTCTTAGCAATTATATCAGTTTTAATGATGATAGGGAACATATTAACACTGATATTGGTACCTACCAATTGCTGGTTGCCAAGGTATAAAACAATTTCACCTTATCCATCATCCTTATGCATCGATCAATTAATCAGGCAAAATAAGTTTCATTTTGACATTTTCCTTTCTGTTAAATACAAATCATGTCGACTTTTTATATGCAAAAAGAATATTACGAATAATCAACACTTGCAATAATTAATTTGACGACATCCTTAATTAATATGAGTAGGTGCCTACTTCATTTCCAAGAAATAATAGGTAATGCAAAAAAAAAAATGGCGTCACATCTCGCAACATTATCCAAAAATTCTTCGATGATTAATAAATGATTGGAGCAATACTTATGAAAAACTATGTCTTTAGCCAATTTAAAAAAGTATTTTTTTTTAATAATTTAGACAGCTATTTATATTAGCTACTACTTACGGCGATCAAGATACAGTACCTACCTACCGTTACCCACCAAACATTTAAGGGCATCTTTAGGTTTAGGTTTTAAGTATCTCTGTTCAATCTTAAAGTGCTAATAAGTGATTAAAATATTGAATTAGTAAGTTTTATAAATAGTATCTAATTAAATAAATGCATTAATGTGTGTGTTTGTGTATTTTTAAACGTAACGTTATTAGTTATGGTTCGTTCACATGCAGTGAATGCACCGCTCCAGAATATTTCGGAGTTGTCAGTAATCTTAGAAACACGTGGTACATTTAATTGTTTATGATTGTGTCTACTATATCGAGTTTCTTAAATATTTAGGTAAGTAGATATGGACAGTTCAAAGTATCATCAATGACCATTTTGAGACAAAACAATACTCGACCTCACAAGCCGATGCCTGCGAGACAAATGTTATGCTTAGATCTCGCTCCTATATATATTGTACCCAATCTTACTATCAGTATAAACTACGTAAATACGGAGAATTTCCAAGAACTGAAATATCTGAGGTCATGTCACTTTGATAGGTAACGATGAATTATAAAGAACCCTACATAATACAATAATGTTAAAAGACATATTGGTGTTTTAACATTATTCTTTATAACTATTGAGTTATTGAGTTATAATTGAATTTGAATTTATAATCTTAATTCAAATAAATTATAACATTCTTCTATATGGGGTGCATCAGGCATTTGTTCAGTAGTGGTCGTCTATCGGTTGACGATCGTAGTTTAATACGTTGGTTCAATCAGATCAGCACCACTTTATATTCCACGATCCACAATGCCCTCCACATCACTGATGGTGGAATTAGATGAAGAAAAATCGCATGAGAATTAGTGATGCACAAAATGGCGGACCATAAGGTATTGGTTACATTTATACCTTGTTCCGAAATATTTAGTGAGCTATTTCAATGTATAAGGGCCTCCTTGTGCGTATTCTACATTAAGTACCTACATTTTATATTATGTTTAAGATTGTATCGTGACCCTATACCCCGTCTGATACATGTAGATACTTTAAATACCTACATATGTACAACACCCTACTCGTACGAAGCTGATTTGTTTAATATTATTTTTAAATGCTAGAGTTCGAATGTTAGGATTCTTGTATAGATGAAAATATAAACAGATTTTCATTTAGAAATGCCAAAATAGATTAGCGAATGTGGAATGTATTTAATGTTTGCCACAGAAATCATCATCAACAGGCCGTGGTAGTCTACTGCTCACTGCTCGACTATGTGCCTTTTGTGCTCGATATTTGGGATGAGGTAATTGGGCCTCTGGTAACCGCACTCACACGACGAAAAACAACGCAAGCGTTGTTTCACGTCGGTTTTCTGTGACGTCGCGGTGGTATACTCCGGTCGAGCCGACCCAAAGAGTATAATAAGTATAGGGGAATGCCGACCCATTCGTGCCGAAGCATGGCTCTCCCAAATTTAACAGTTAAAGTGATCGTCAACACCGACAGATCAATATAATACTTATTGTATATGTAATACTTAATTAAAGGAAACGTCTCTGAGTCACGGTGATGGCTCAGCGATGATATGCGTCGCTCGCAAGGGGCGCATTCGCTAGATGTGGCCGTACTACTACTATGTTTAGATGTGGCCGCAACATTGTGTTTGGTTGTGGTCGCCTCACTATGCTACATTTAACAATCTATATGTGTGACAGTTTATAAAAACTGACCCTAATATCAGTATCCCCAATATCATGTGCCTACAGTTTAATGTCACAAGTTCATTTGAAATAACAATTTTTATTGGTTCAATTCATCGTCAGACGACTACTGATACCAATACATTTATTGCTGCGTCTACATTGTCTAGTCTAGATGATCGACAATCTCCAATAAGAAAAAAATGAACTTTTTTCTTACATACATGACATACATAACATCACACCTTTTATCCCCGAAGGGGTAGGCAGAGGTGCACATTATGCGACTGTACAATGTAACACCAATTTTTCACTATTTATGCTATGAGTCCCATGTAATAGGGGGTGAGCCTGTTGCCATATACCGGGCACAATACCAGACTCCGTGCTACTACTGAGAATTTTTTAAAAACCCAGTAATACTTTGCCCGACTCCGGAATCGAACCCGAGACCCCTTGCCCGGCAGTCGCATTTGTGACCACTCGGCCAACGAGGCAGTCTTTTTTCTTCTCCTCTTATAATATCTTCTGATTTATTTCGTTGCGGGAACCAAGACAGTTATTTATGTCCCTGGGACGCGCCGGACTTGACTGTCCTGGTATTATCATGGTTGTATCAACTTCCAGATCCTGGTTTACAGGAGTTGCTGCGGTTTTAGAAGGTTAAGGCGGGCCTTTCCCAAAAAAAAACCCCAATAAGGAATAACATTCTTGTTACACATTCAAAAGAAATAGTGCAACCGGATGGTAATTTGAAAATATACCTCCAACGTTCCGTTGCATTCGTCACATTTATACAACTACGTTCTTTAATCACATGTCAAACAAGTGACAAGTGAAACAAGTGAATTTATTTCTGCAAATAGGCTATAAGGCAGCACTTTTACACGTCAATTTTATCAAGCGAACGATGAGGTCGACATTTCCTAACAGACTACTCTGAGAAGAAATGCCGAAACAAACTCAGAGGTCTGTCTCTTTTAAAGTCCAGACAATATGTATAATAGATTATGTGTGAAAAAATGAAATTGGATATCCCCGATGCCCCACGAGCCAATCAGCGCAGCACCCATCTTCCTTGTTTCTATAATAGTTTGACATTGT